GTCACCCAGGCTGGAGTGCAGTAGCGCGATCTTGGCTCACTGCAAGCTCCATCTCCTGGGTTCAAGCGATTCTCCTGCCTCAGCTTCCCGAGTAGCTGGGACTGCAGGTGCCTGCCACCATGCCCGGCTAATTTTTGTATTTTTAGTAGAGATGGTTTCACCATGTTGGCCGAGATGGTCTTGATCTCTTGACCTCGTGATCCGTCCACCTTGGCCTCCCAAAGTGCTGGGATTACAGGTGTGAGCTGCCGCGCCCGGACTGGAGGCTCAAGTTTTTAAAGAAAAAAAGGACATATCAAGGGTGGGGTGATTACAAAAGTGATTTGTCAGGAATTCTCATTGGTTCGCAGAAATATCATTGGTTAGTGATTGGCTACACCTTGTTGAACTCTAGGGTGTGTAGCATTTTATGGCTATTTGGTATCGGTCTAGTGCCCACATAGTAAGTGGCTTTAAGAGGTAATTATTGAGCCGGGGGTGGTGGCTCTTGCCTATAATTTCAGCACTTGGGAGGCCAAGGCGGGTGGATCACCTGAGGTCAGAAGTTCAAGACCAGCTTGGTCAACATGGTGAAACCCCATCTCTACTAAATATACAAAAATTAGCCGGGCGTGATTGTGGGTGCCTGTCATCCCAGCTATTCAGAAGGCTGAGGCAGGGGAATCACTTGAACCCAGGAGGCAGAAGTTGCAGTAAATCGAGATCGTGCTATTGCACTCCAGGCTGGGCAAGAGCGAAACTCCATCTAAAAAAAAAAAGAGAAAACAGCCCGGGCGCAGTGGCTCACGCCTGTAATCCCAGCACTTTGGGAGGCCGAGGTGGGCAGATCACGAGGTCAAGAGTTCTAGACCAGCCTGGCTAATATGGTGAAACCCCATTTCTACTAAAAATACAAAAAATTAGCTGGGCATAGTGGCAGGCGCCTGTAATCCCAGCTACTCAAGAGGCTGAGACAGGAGAATTGCTTGAACCCGGGAGGTGGAAGTTGCAGTGAGCTGAGATCATGCCGCTGTACTCCAGCCTAAGTGACAGAGTGAGACTCCTTCTCAAAAAAAAAAAAAAAAAAAAAAAGTAATTATTTAGCTCAAAGAGTAGTGACATGGCTGCTGTTACATTCCAGGGCCTCTGTGGGCCTGATAATTCCTTAGATAAAACATTTCTTTTCCCCCACAATCCCAATTGTCTCAAAGACGTTTTTTGTGGTTTTATGATACGACCAAGTCTCATGCAATACATACGGTTTGTTTTTTTAGTTTCTTTTAATGTGGAAAATTTCCCTATCCCACTCCCTCCTCGTGATTTGACTTTTTGAAAATCCTGGACCAGTTGTTTTGTAAAATGTCCCACATTTTGGATTGTCCAGTTTACCTTTGAAGTCTCAATGAACTTATCTTCCTCTATTTTCTAACTGGAAGTCAGATCTAAAGACTTTATGTCATTTGGTTTAAACATTTTTGGCAAGAATACTTGATATAGCTACCCTGGGACTTCATCTTGCACCGTTATCAGGAGTGGCCGCAGCGTGGGTCGTGCTGGCTGCACTTGCACAGTTTTATTTAGATGGGGATTGCCGTAGCATGCGTGTATGAAATTTAGTTTTAACTGAACTGAATGGAGAAAAGGGAAGTAGAAGTTCAACTGAAAGAATTATTGACTTTCAAATATGTTTCTTCACTACAAGGATTAATATGTCTTAAAAGATCCCTCTAAATGTAAGAGGTCCAGGATCAATAAAAAATATTAAAAAGCTAAAGTCACTGAGTTTCTTTTAGACCCAGTGTTTTCAAATTTTTTTTTTTTTTTTTTTTTTTTTTTGGACAGAGTCTTGCTCTGTCACCCAGGCTAGAGTGCCGTGGCATGATCTCAGCTCACTGCAACCTCTGCCTCCCAGGTTCAAGCGATTCTCCTGCCTCAGCCTCCCAAGTAACTGGGATTACAGGTGTGTGCCACCACATCTGGCTAAGTTTTGTATTTTTTAGTAGAGATGGGGTTTCACCATGTTATCCAGGCTGGTCTCAAACTCCTGACCTCAGGTGATCCACCAGCCTTGGCCTCCCAAAGTGCTGGGATTATAGGCGTGAGCCACCGCATCTGGCCTATTGAGTAGTTTAATAACTCAGTAAGGTGGTTCAACTTAAATTATATAATAGAATTCAATATAAAGTTATGGAATATAGTCTTCTAAATTCCAGGCCTAGTAACTAGCCCTGTATGGTGGTGGTTTTCTGTCTTCCAGATGGATTTATCTTTTAGGGTTGTTTTCGTCTGCATGCACTATGATCGCCTCAGGCGTTGGTAACTGCATTTGCAGCAGTCGCCTTGTAGCTCCTGGTTGTTTTAAACGTATTTCCTTATGTGGCAGTTAGGTTGTTTGGTCTTAGTTGGTTTGCTTAGGTCTGCAATGCTTTCTTTTAATCTCCTTTGACTGTCATATCAATTCAACGTTGAGCTTTTGTTTTATTGGTTTTATTTTTTCTGAGATGTTCTATGGCCTGAAGCAATTAGCAAGACTTCCTTCTCTTCCATGCCTTAAATGTTCTTCTAGGCTGGGCTCTTTGACTTATCTTCAGTGAGCCTTTTTGTTGTTGTTTTACTGTTTATTTTTTTCAATTTATTTATTTTTTGGAAACAGAGTCTCGCTCTATTGCCCAGGCTGGAGGGCAGTAACACAATCTCGGCTCACTGCAACCTCTGCCTCCTGGGTTCAAGTGATTCTCATGCCTCAGCCTTCCGAGTAGCTGGGACTACAGGTGCCCGTCACCACGCCCGGCTAATTTTTTGTTTTTTAGTAGAGATAGGGTTTCACCATGTTGACCAGGCTGGTCTCGAACTCCTCACCTCAGGTGATCTTGCCTCGGCCTCCCAAAGTGTTGAGATTATAGGCATGAGCCACCGCTCCCAGCCAGGTGACCCTTTTGTTGTTGTTTTACTGTTTGTGTATATTGTTGCCTTGTGATTTTGCTTCATGTTACAGGTTGTATTCTCAGAGGCGTAGGAAGTATGTTGGCAAGTGATGCTAGGAAGCAGAATCAGGCAGAGGGAGAAGTTGGGCTTTGAGGCAGTCACAGCAAAGGCCTCATCCCAGGGGCTCTTGAGTGTACTGGCTCTGCAGAGCTGTCCTGAATTGGGGCAGGGGTGTAGCTGTTATACTCCTGCAGAGACCAACAGTTAAAATGCAGGCCGTGCTCAGGGAGTGGACATGCTACTATCAGGCAGCTTTCTGCAGCAGAGGACCCAGCTGTGGAATGGGTGCTTCTGTGTGGAAGGGAGTATATGGGTGGCATGACCCACCACTGACTAGAATTAATTTTATTTGCATGGTGGTACTGTTCAGCCATTCATTCTGTTTTCTCTGATAAGGTAGGTTTGTTCTTTATTCTCTTCTTAGCCTGTCTGAGATAGGTGAGTTTCCCTTCCGACATACAGATGGAGGGCTGAGTTTTGTGGGATATTCCAGCTTTGTGAGTAGCCTGAGAAATGACTGGGAGGCAGTGAAGGGTTGAGCCAGTGCAGGTGTGGTCCTGCCTTGTTAAATATGATGTGAGGTAGGGGTCAGGAGTCTGCATGCAAATCACCCAGTGCCGTTTGCTGAAAGATCGTCTTTTCCCCACTGCTCTGCAGTGTCATCTATGTCATAAATTGTCATAAATCAGGTGTCTGTACATGTGTGTCCCTGTCTTGACCTGTGTTCTTTTCCATTGTCCCATTGGATTATCTTTGTGTAAATACCACACAGTCTCATTTATTGTAATTTGAAAATGAATCCTGACATCCATTAGAGTCATTCCTCTGACTTTCTTTATCTTCAGGATTGTCTTGGGTGATATGTTTGTGCTCTTTGCCTTTCTTTTCATTCAGCTTTAGGATCAGATTGTCAGTTTCCACAAAATATCTGCTGATATTTCTGCTGAGATTGCACTGATTCTATAAATAAGTTCGGGGATAATGGACCTCACTACAATATTGAGTTTCCAACCCATGACCTTTATTTAGATCTTTAATTTTGAGAATATTGATGTATACTTTTTTATACAGATGCCTTTCTTGCAAATCTTTGGTTAGATTTGTTCCTGGGCATATTATCCTTTAAAACTAATATAATGAATCACTATGTAGCCCTTACCCAGTGTGCACAACCTTGCTGCATTAGTGTCCCTCTCCCACTCACTCCACCATCGCCCCCCAGAGTCTTTGGAAGCAAATTAAAAATATATCATGTTTAGCTGGGCACAGTGGCTCCTGCCTATAATCCCAGCCTGTTGGGAGGCCGAGGCGGGCAGATCATTTGAGGTCAAGAGTTTGAGACCAGCCTGGCCAACATGGTGAAACTCTGTTTCTACTAAAAATTACAAAAATTAACCAGGCGTGGTGGTGCACGCCTATAGTCCCAGCTACTCGGGAGGCTGAGGCAGGAGAATCACTTGAACCCGGGAGGCGGAGGTTGCAGTGAGCTGAGATCGTGCCACTGCACTCCGGCCTGGGTGACAGAGTGAGACTCCATCTCTCTCTCTCTCTCTATATATATATATATACACACACACACACATACACACACACTGATATACATATATATATATATAGAGAGAGAGATGGAGCATAATATATATATATATAATATATATGTGTATGTATGTAATGTTTAGCTGGGTGTGGTGGCATGCCTCTGTGGTCCCAGCTACTAGGGAGGTAGAGGTGGAAGGATGGCTTGAGCCACCACACCACTGCACTCCAGCCTGGGTGGCAGGAAGCTGAGGTGGGAGCATCTTCTGAGCCCAGAAGGTTGAGACTCCAATGAGCCATGTTTACACCACTGCATTCCAGCCTGGGCAACAGAGCAAGACACTGTCTTAAAAAGAAAAAAAAAAAAAAGAATTAAATGAAAAGTGAACCATTTGATACATTTTCATTTTCTCAGAGTTTTTAATAACTTGTCGTTATTTATTATGTACTATCTTCAGATTTTTATATTTGCTCAACTGATTCATTGTTCTTCTTTGTAGTTTCCCATCACCAATTTTCCTTGGAATTGGACAGGTGAGTGAAAAAAAATAGAATTAACCTCTTATTTTGTCATCAGTGTTCATAATGACATTTTAAGTCCTTTTGTTTAAAGCTGTGGTTGCAAATTTATTCAGCTGGGAGAGGACCAGAGGGTCATGGTACTCCTGGTGAGACAACAGGATATATTGACACTTTATTTCAGTCTACAATTTAGGAACAATTGTGTTTATGGGAAAAACAGCTTCTTTTTTTTTTTTTTTTTTTTTTTTTTGAGACGGAGTCTCGCTCTGTCGCCCAGGCTGGAGTGCAGTGGCCGGATCTCAGCTCACTGCAAGCTCCGCCTCCCGGGTTTATGCCATTCTCCTGCCTCAGCCTCCCGAGTAGCTGGGACTACGGGCGCCCGCCACCTCGCCTGGCTAGTTTTTTGTATTTTTTAGTGGAGACGGGGTTTCACCATGCTAGCCCATGTTGGGATGGTCTCGATCTCCTGACCTCGTGATCCGCCCGTCTCGGCCTCCCAAAGTGCTGGGATTACAGGCTTGAGCCACCGCGCCCGGCCGGGAAAAACAGCTTCTTATTTTAAGTTCCTTAACTGAATTTAATTACTGTAAAGCAGGGGGCTACGAGACTCAGAGCCTCCAAGGCCTGGTGGGTAACACATGAGTTGATTGAGGACTGGGTGGGAGAGAGAATACTTGTCCCACTTAAAGTGTCAGCTTGATACTCAGTTTAAGCCATTGTGCCTGATAGGAAAAGGGTTGGGAGATGGGACCCACCATGCTGCCCTTATTATTAGCATCAGAAGGTTTTCAAGAGAAAGAGAGTTTGAATTTTTTTCTTTTTGAGACGGAGTTTTGCTCTTGTCGCCCAGGTTGGAGTGCAATGGCACTATGTCGACTCACCGTGACCTCTGCCTCCCAGGTTCAAGAAATTCTTCCAGCTCAGCCTCCCAAGTAGCTGGGATTACAGGCAACTGCCACCACGGCCAGCTATTTTTGTATTTTCAGTAGAGATGGGTTTTTGCCATGTTGGTCAGGCTGGTCTCGAACTCCTGACTCAGGCGATCCGCCCGCCTTCGCCTCCCAAAATGCTGGGATTACAGGTGTGAGCCGCCGCGCTCGGCTGAGAGTTTGAGTTTTTACATAAAGTCTTCAAACTTGTACATGCTGGCAACAGATTCAAATTTTTACAAAACTCCCTATGTGCTAAACAAAACATGTTTGCAGTTTGCTTCCTGGAGTTTGTGATTTTTGCTCTGAAGTACACGGATGAGCTTGGGTAAGCCTGTTCAAACTATGCCCATTTGGCAGTTTCTGAAATTTCCCATTTATGTTAATTTGTGACTGTTTATTCTTGTGGTTATATACTGGTGATTTCCAGATAAATAAATAGTAACAGACCACAATGTTTTTTGTTTTGATTTTGATTTAATTCATAGAGGGAAAAGCTTAACATTATGAAAATAGTATCTGTTAACTAAATTTTTAATTGTGAATCTGGGTAAACATTCTTCTTTTTTTTTTTTTTTGAGACTGAATCTCACCCTGTCACCCAGGCTGGAGTGCAATGGCGCGATCTCGACTCACTATAACCTCTGCCTCCCGGGTTCAAGTGATTCTCCTGCCCCAGCCTCCCAAGTAGCTGGGATTACAGGTGCACACCACCATGCCCAGCTAATTTTTTGTATCTTTAATAGAGACGGGGTTTTACTATGTTGTCCACGTTGATCTCGAACTCCTGACCTCGTGATCCACACACCTTGGCCTCCCAAAGTGCTAGGATTACAGGCATGAGCCACTGCGCCTGGCCAAATAAACATTATTCTGATTAAATGTCTTGCTAATAAATACCTCTTTGCAACATCATTTTAGGGAGAAGCAATTATAACAAGAATTTTCTTAGAGTAAAAAAATTATCTTTATATTTCAGTGTAAAAATATTAGAAAAAAGCATGTTAAAAAAAAAAAAAAAAAGATCAGACCAGGCACGGTGGCTCATGCCTATAATCCTAGCACCTTGGGAGGCCGAGGTGGGTGGATCACTTGAAGTCAATAGTTTGAGACCAGCCTGGACAACATGGTGAAACTCAGTCTCTACTAAAAATAAAAAAAATAGCCAGAAATTGCTTGAACATTCACCGGGAGGCAGAGGTTGCAGTGAGCCGAGATTGCACCACTTCACTCCAGCCTGGGTGACAGGCAAGACTCTGTCTCAAAAAAAAAAAAAAAAAAAAAAAAAAAAATCAGTGATAAGGTGCCCTTTGTAGTCTCTAAGTGAAATAAATTACTCTTTAACCCAGTGGCTTATACCCAAAGGTAAAGCCTTTCTGATTTGCAATTTGTTGAGGTAAGAGGCCAGTTAGACCTAATTTTAAAAGTCCGAATTACATTTATTTTAAGTAAGTGTTGGTATATTTATTTTATTTTATTTTATTTTTTCTTTCTTTCTTTTTTTTTTTTTTGACAGTGTCTGGCTCTGTTGCCCAGGCTGGAGTGCAGTGGTGTGATCTTGGTTCACTGTACCCTTCACTTCCTGGGCTCAAGTGATCCTCCTGCCTCAGCCTTTCAAGTAGCTAGGACTCCAGGCATGCACCACCACACTGACTAATTTGTGTATTTTTTGTAGAGATAGGGTTTCACCATGATGCCCAGGCTGGTCTTGAACTTCTGGGCTCAAGCGATCTGCCCACCTTGGCCTCCAAAGTGTTGGGATTATGGGCGTGAGCCACTGCGCCTGGCCAATGTTATTGTATTTCTTTAAAAATTATAAAGCGAGGCATAAGTACAAAGTACAGTTATAATTCAGGGTGGGCTTAATTACATAAATATATGATAAGTATTAAGTTTGTAAACTCAGGAGCAAGGTATAGGATTATAATCATGTTGAAGGAGTCTTACATTTTTGCATCCTAATATGGAGAGAATTGAGTAAGTTCTACAACTTGCATGGAAGATGATGTTACATTTTTATTTCATAATAATGATATGGAGTATTTCCAATATACCTAGGGCACTCCAGATTAAGAGGATTTGATGAGACATTTTTGCTATGCCAGCTGGATTGAAAAGTAAATCTGTCTTTAAACTTTTTTCCCTCTTTGTTGGTCTTCTGTCTTATGGAAATAATGGACTTTTAAAAAAATATGCCCAGGAGTAGAGTTTCTTTTAAAAGGATGTTCCTGTGCCTTTATGGGGGAAGGTAACCGTATGTTTAGTATGTGGGAAATATGGTCCAGGATCAATGTGTCACCTCACTGACTGTGATCACTTTTGCACATTTGTCACTGTCAGAGAGACCATTCCCTTTCTCCCTCTCCCACAGTTCCATTCCTAGAGCCCTTTGAGATAATGTGTGTGTGTATGTGTAAGTGTATTGGAGATTATACTTTTTTTTTTTGAGAGAGAGTCTTGCTGTGTCTCCCAGGCTGGAGTGCAGTGGCGTGATCATGGCTCACCGCAGCCTTGACTTTCCAGGCTCAGGTGATCCTCCCACCTCAGTATCCTGAATAGCTGGGACCACAGATCACCACGACTGGCTAATTTTTTGTATTTTTTTATAGAGATGGATTTTCACCATGTTGCTTAGGCTGGTCTTGAACTCCTAGGCTCAAGTGATCTTCCTGCCTCGGCTTCCCAAAGTGCTGGGATTACAGGCATGAGCCATGGCACCCAACCGATACTACCTTTTTTTTTTTTTTTTTTTTTTTTTTTGAGACAGTGGTGTGATCTTGGCTCACTGCAACCTCGGCCTCTCAGGTTCAAGCGATTCTCCTGCTTCAGCCTCCTGAGTAGCTGAGTAACCATTCTGCGTCTGCCAGCATGCCCAGCTAATTTTTGTTTTTTAGTAAAGACAGGGTTTCATCATGTTGGCCAGGCTGGTCTTGAACTCCTGACTTCAAGTAATCCACCCATCTTGACCTCCCAAAGTGCTGGGATTATAGCTGTGAGCCACTGCGCCCTGCCCAACATTACGTTTTTTGCCTAGAGTTCTGATGGAATCTGTACTGTGGCAAGAAAAACAATTTTAATATTCTAAGAAATAGTTATTTTTTCCTGGAACCTAGAAAATGAGTTTTTTGCTATATTTCTTTTTGATGACTGTGTTTTTTTCTGATGATGTCATTGCACCTCAATCAATCTTTGCAGATATTTTGCTGAAGTTTTTCTCTCCCCTTTTCTCTTTTCTTCAGATGGCAGCCACCATAATGATACTATATGTGTCCAAGCTAAACAAAATAATTCACTTCCCTGATTTTGATAAGAAAATTCCTGTAAAGGTATGTAATGAAAAGTATATGTGACTGTGATAGAAGATGTGAAAATACACATTGATTTTAGAGTACAGGTCTATTTCTATACACACTGTACTTCCTGCCTGCACTGGATATAAACTTCTTTTTTTGTTTGAGATGGACTCTCGCTCTGTCGCCCAGGCTGGAGTGCAATGGTGCGATCTTGGCTCACTGGAATCTCCGCCTCCTGGGTTCAAGTGATTCTTGTGCCTCAGCCTCCTGAGTACGTGGGATTACAGGTGCCTGCCACCATGCCCAGCTAATTTTTTTTTTTTTTTTTTTTGTATTTTTAGTAGAGATGGGGTTTCACCATGTTGGTCAGGCTGGTCTCAAACTCCTGACCTCAAGTGATCCACCCACCTTGGCCTCTCAAAGTGCTCGGATTACAGGTGTGAGCCACCGTGCTTGGTCAAGAAACTTTTTAGTAAAGATCGTATATCGCTTAGTTGTCCATTAATGTAATGCATACAGTAGTAAAAGTATGTGCTTAACAACTGACATCAAATCAATGAATATTGTGTGTCTTCTGAAGTGAGAGAACTCTAAATTAGGGATTGGCAAACTTTTTGGTAAAGGATCAGACCATCTCTTGCAATTATTCACTTCTGCCACTGTACCATGAAAGTAGCCCTTAATGACATTTAAATGGGTTGATGTTCATGTGTTCCAATAAAACTTTATTTACATAAATAAGAGCTGGGCTGGATTTGGGCCCTCGTTTACTGATTTCTATTTTCAGTTTTCATTTTATCCTGGCCTGACAAAAGCTGTGAGTGGAATGAAGAATGCAATTTGATATACATAGAAATACGCAGTGTTTTCCATCCTGGAACTAGAAACAGAAAATCTGCCATTCCTTCCTGGACTGTGGAATGGAACTAACGTTTGTTGAACAGTTGCTGGGTTCCAGACATTAGGTCAGGCATTTAATTCTTAGACCAGTCCTATACAACAGGTGGTATTAAATGGATTATGACAGCATTTAGGTTTAAATCAGACTGTCAGTTCCCTGAGGGTGAGGACCTCATGTGGCTGGTTTGCTGCCTTTCTCTAATGCTTAGAAAAATGCCAGCATCTAGCACTGGATTATTTATCAGACAGACTAAAGAAGCACCTGCTTACAGCATCAGTAATCAGGGGAGCCCAGTGTGGTGGCTCACGCCTATAATCCCAGCAACTTGGGAGATCAAGGCAGGAGGATCGCCTGAGGCCAGGAGTTGGAGGTCAGTGTGGGGAACATAGTAAAGGCAGGAGGATCGCCTGAGGCCAGGAGTTGGAGGTCAGTGTGGGGAACATAGTAAGACGTTGTCTCAAAAAAAAAAAAAAAAACAGGTGCGGTGGCTCATGCCTGTAACCCCAGCACTTGGGAGACTGAGGCAGGCGGATCACGAGGTCAAGAGATTGAGACCAACTTGGCCAACGTGGTGAAACCCTGTCTCTAATAAAAATAAAAAAAAAATTAACTGGGCATGGTGGCGCACACCTGTAGTCCCAGCTACTCAGGAGGCTGAGGCAGGAGAATCGCTTGAACCTGGGAGGCAGAGGTTGCAGTAAGCCAAGGTTGTGCCACTGCACTCCAGCCTGGGCAACAGAGTAAGGCCCCATCTCAAAAAAAAAAAAAAAAAAATTCAGGGACGTCCAGAAAAAGAGAAAAGTAAAAGGTTGAAGTATATGAAAGCTGTCAACCTAATCATCATGAGAAAAACCATGGGCTTACTTACTCTTATTTTATCTTATAGTATAATTTTAAAACATTTTAAAATGGTGAAATCTATACATAGAGAAAAAGGCATCCTATTTGAATGTGTAATTGAATGACTAATTACCCTTGTAAACCATTACTTAGGTCATGAAATGGGATCACAAAGTCTTCCTTACCCACTATCCTAACTTTTCTAACAATAATTTTCTTGCTTTCTTTGTAGTTTTTCTAAATCTGGATGCATCCCTAAATTCTTTTTTTTTGAGATAGAGTTTTGCTCTTGCCCAGGTTGGAGTGCAATCTCAGCTCACTGCAACCTCCAACTCCCAGGTTCAAGCGATTCTCCTGCCTCAGCCTCCTGAGTAGCTGGGATTATAAGCATGCACCACCACGCCCCACTAATTTTGTATTTTTAGTAGAGACGGGGTTTCTCCATGTTGGTCAGGCTGGTCACGAACTCCCAACCTCAGGTGATCCGCCCACGTTAGCCTCCCAAAGCGCTGGGATTACAGGCTTGAGTCACCGCACCCAGCCACATCCCTAAATTCTATAGTCTCGTTTTACCTGCTTTTGAACTTGAGATAAAGGGGATCTAACTCTATGTTCTTTTGTATCTGGCTTCTTTCACTTAATATTATGATAGTGAAATTCATCCGTGTTGTGTGTGGCTGTATTCTTTTATTTTCATCGTATGAATATATCACAATTTACTTATCTGTTCTATTATTCATGGTAATTTGGATATTTCCAGTTTGGGGGCTAGAAAAATAAAAAGTACCACCCTGAACATACTTAAAAGTTGGACCCTGGCGTACATGTGTTAGCTGGGGCTGCCATAACAAAATACGCCTGGCCAGGTGGCTTCAACAACAGAAATGGATCTCCTCACAGTTCTGGAGGCTGGAAGTCCAGGACCTAGGTGCTGGCAGGGTTGACTTCCGGTGAGGCTTTGCTTCCTGGCTTACAGATAGCCACCTTCTCACTGTGTCCTCAATGGTCTTTCCTCCGTGTGTGCACTCCTGGTATCTCTTCCACTTCTTTTTCTTTCTGTTTTTATTTTCATTTTTATTATTATTTTGAGACAGGGTCTAGCTCTTTCACCCAGGCTGGAGTGCGGTGGTACATCCACAGCTCACTGCAACCTCAAACTCGTGGGCCCAAGTGATCCTCCTGCCTCAGCCTCCCAATTAGCTGGGACTACAAGCATTTTTTACCATGCCTTGCTAATTTAAATTTTTTTTTTTTGTAGAGACAAGGTCTCACTATGTTGCCAGGGCTGGTCTTGAACTCCTGGGCTTAAGCTGTCTTCCTCTGTCGGCCTCCCAAAGTGTTACAATTACAGGTGTGAGCCACCGTGCCTGGCCTCTTCTCTTCATATAGGGACACCAGTCTTGTTGGGCTAGGGCTCTACCACTATGCCCTCATGTAACCTGACTTCCCTTGGTTAAGACCTCATCTCCAAATATAGTCACATTGGGGATTAAGGCTTCAACATGTGAATGTGGGGAAAAACAAGATTCAGTTCATAACAGTGCCTATGAGTGAGGAATGTGTCTATCAGGGAGTGGAACTGCTGGCCCTGGGGCGTGCGTATCTTCAGCTTCAATCTGTAAAGCTGAACAGTTCTTCTTGGTGGCTGTACCCGTTCACCTTCTGACAAGTGTGCATGGAAGTCCCTGTTGCTTCATATTCTTGGTATGTGAGTCATATTACATTTTGCTAATCTGGGTTGGGTGAGGTGGCTCACACCTGTAATCCCAGCACTTCGGGAGGCTGAGGCAGGCAGATCACCTGAGACCAGGAGTTCAAGACCAGCCTGGCCACCATGGCAAAACCCCATCTCTACTAAAAATACAAAAAATTAGCTGGGCATGGTGGCGGGTGCCTGTAACCCCAGCTTGGGATTACAGGAGACTCAGGAGACTGAGGCAGGAGAATTGCTTGAACCTGGGAGGCGGAGGTTGCAGTGAGCCAAGATCACACCATTGCACTCCAGCCTGGACAATAAGAGCAAAACTCTGTCTCAAAAATAAATAAATACATCAATAAATAAATTTTACTAATCTGGTGGGTGTGTTGTGACATCTTATGGGCTTTAATTTGCATTTCCCTGATGACTAGTGAGGAGGAGCCCCTTTTCTTTTCTTTTTTTTTGAGATGAAGTCTTGCTCTATTGCCCAAGCTGGAGTGCAGTGGCGTGATTTTGGCTCACTGCAACCTCTGCCTCCCGGGTTCAAGCAATTCTCCTGCCTCAGCCTCCTGAGTAGCTGGGACTACAGACGTGTGCCACCACCCCCAGCTAATTTTTGTATTTTTAGTAGAGATGGGGTTTCGCTGTGTTGGTCAGGCTGGTCTCAAACTCCTGACCTTGTGATCCACCTGCCTTGGCCTCCCAAAATGCTGGGATTACAGGCGTGAGCCACTATGCCGCACCAAAATCATTTTTTTAATGTCTGTTTGAATATCCTGTCTGGTGAAGTATCTGTCACCATTTTTATATGTGAAGGAAAATGCTTATTGGAGTTCTAACCAAATATTCATTCTTTTTTTTTTATCGAAGCTGTTTCCTCTGCCTCTCCTCTACGTTGGAAACCACATAAGTGGATTATCAAGCACGAGTAAATTAAGGTAGAGTGCGGGATAATGGCTAGTTCCTCACCTCTGTGCTGCCAATGTTACAAAGACTAAGTTTGATTTTGCCATTGATATTGCTTCTACTATATATAGAAGACAATAATATTCAGTAATTTAAGAAAGTAAGGTGGAGTTTTGAGTTTAATTGGCCAATGATTTTAGGAATGTTAAAAAGCTTATTTTTTTTTAATTATATTCAAGCCTGAACATAGAATATGAGAGCTGTAGACATTAAGGTAGAGAAGGTCTGATTTATCCAGGTACGACTGTTAGTATGAATATGATTTTGTGTGACTTTTGGTTTCATCTCCATTTTATAAGAGCAGGAACATCTCCTCAGGCTTGGTGTAGACCAGGTTTGGTGCAGGGAAGAATAAATGACAGACATTTTCAAGTGTGTGCTGTATACATTTGACATTTGCATCTGCATTTATTTCAGGGTATTTTTTTTTTTTTTGAGATGGAGTCTCACTCTGTCACCCAGGTTGGAGTGCAGTGGCGTTATCTTGACTCACGGCAGCCTCCACCTTCCGAGTTCAAGTGATTCTCTAGCCTCAGCCTCCCAAGTAGCTGGGATTACAGGCATGCGCCAACACGCCTGGCTAAGTTTTGTACTTTTAGTAGAGATGGGCTTTCACCATGTTGGCCAGGCTGGTCTTGAACTCCTGACCTCACGTGATCCATCCGCCTCGGCCTCCCAAAGTGCTGGGATTACAGGTCTGAGCCACTGTGCCCGGCCTATTTCAGAGTCTTTTGATTATGGGGCACCTAATACCTTATCCTTCTTGGAATGCTATTAAATGGATCAATTTCACTGTTAATGATTTTAAGGGTTTGATATCTTATCTTTTTTTGTGATGGAGTCTTGCTCAGTCACCCAGGTTGGAGTGTAGTGGTGCGATCTTGGCTCACTGCAACCTCTACCTCTTGGGTTCAAGCGATTCTCCTGCCTCAGCCTCCCAAGTAGCTGGGATTCCACGCCTGCCACCATGCCCAGCTACTTTTTGTATTTTTAGTAAAGACAGAGTTTCACCGTGTTGGCCAGGCTAGTCTTGAACTCCTGACCTCAAGTAATCCGCCCATCTCGGCCTCCCAAAGTGCTTGAATTACAGGCATGAGCCACCACGCCCGGCCTAAACTTTTTCAATAAAGACGGATTTTCACCACTTCATATAGGAAAAGCAGGATAAAAGCTTCCTTCCTTTACTAGTGCTCAGACTAATACATTAGTGTCCTGACACCTTCAATGGTGACCAGCGAGGGTTGTTTTCTGTTTGTTTGTTGTTGTTTTTTCCTATCATGGATTCATGCTTTTTCATTTACTTGATACAAGTCCTTTATCAAATATGTGTTTTGCAAATATTTTTTCCTAGTTTGTGGCTTATCTTTTTATTTTCTTAACACTGTCTTTCACAGAGCAGGAGTTTTTAATTTTAATGAAGTTCACAATCATTTTTTTTTCATGGATTATACTTCTGGTTTTGAATTTGAAACCCATCATCAAACCAAGATCATCCAAATTTTCTATGCTATCTTCCAGAATTTTTGTAGTTTACATTTTACATTTAGGTCTCTACAAATTTGCCTACTCTAGACATCTCACACAAGTAGAATCATACAATATTTTTGCCTTTTTTGACTGGCTTATTCACTTACATCATATTTTCAGGGTTTATCCATGTTATATTAGGTGTCAGATTTTAATTCCTTTTTCAAGCTGATTAATATTCCATTGCAGGTATATATATAATATATATATATTATATATGTGTGTATATATATATGCATATATATGCGTATATATATGCATATATATGTGTATATATATGTGTATATATATGCATATATATGTGTATATATATGTGTATATATATAACATTTTGTTTGTCCATTTATAAAAATATTATTTATTTATTTATTTTTTTGAGACAGGGTCTCGCTTTATTACCCAGGCTGGATTGCAGTGGTGCAATCACAACTCACTGCAGCCTCACCCTGCTGGGCTCAAGCGATTCTCCTGTCTCGGTCTCCTGAGTTGCTGGGGCTACAGGTGTGCACCACCACACCTGGCTTATTTTTATATTTTTTGCAGAGACTAGGTCTTACCATGTTGCCCAGGCTGATCTTGAACTCCTGAACTCAAGCAATCTGCCTGCTCCGGACTCCCAAAGTGTTGGGATTACAGGAATGAGCCACTGTGCCCAGCCTGTAAAAGTTTTTAATTTTGATGAATTCCAGTTTTTCTATTTTTTCCTTTTGTTGCTTGTGCTTTTGATGTTTTATCTAAGGCTTTGCCTAACCGAAGGGTCATAAAGATTTACTTTTATACTTTCTTCTAAGAATTTTATAGTTTTAGATCCTATATCCAGGTCTTTAATACATCTCAGAGAATTAAAAATTTTTTTCTTTTAAGTAATGGGGTCTTTCTATGTTGCTGTGTTACCCAGACTCAAATGCAGTAGCTATTCACCGGTGCAGTCATGGCTCACTGTGGCCTCAAACGATTCCCCACCTCAGCCTCTCGAGTACCTGGGACTGCAGGCACATGTGACAGTACCCAGCTCTTGCGTTAATTTTTTGTATATGGTGTGAGATAGAAGTTCAAATTCATTTTTTTGCACTTGGATGTTCAGTTGTCCCAGCAGCATTTGTTGAAAAGACTGTTCTTTTTCCATTGTATTGTCTTGGCACCCTGGTTGAAAATCAATTGATCATAATTTTAAGAATGTATTTCTTGACTCTTAATTCTATTCTCTTGATTGTATATCTATCTTTATTATTATTTTTTTGAGACAGGGTCTTGCTCTGTCACCCAGGCAGGAGTGTGGTGGCACAGTCACTACTCATTGTAGCCTTGACCTCCTAGGCTCAAGCGATCCTCCCACCTCAGCCTCCCAAGTAGCTGGGACCACAGGTGTGCACCACAACACCTGGCTAATGATTATTTTAATTTTTTGTAGAGATAGCATTTCACCATGTTGCCCAGGCTGGTCTGAAACTCCTGGACCCAAGGGATCCACCTGCCTCAGCCTCCTAAATTGCTGGGATGATTGGAGTGAGCCACTATGCCTATCTATCTATCTATCTATCTATCTATCTATCTATCTATCTATCTATCTTTAAACCAGTACTAGCTAGTCTTGATTATTGTAACTTTGTATTAAATTTTGAAATTGGAAAGTGTAAGTACACCAACTTTGTTGTTCTTTTTCAAGATAGTTTTGATTTTTTAATTCTCTTGCATTTCCTTATTAATTTTAAAATCAGCTTGTCAATTTCTGCAAGAAAAAAAAAAAGAATAAATAAAGCCAGCTAAGATTTGATAGGGATTATGTTGAATCTGTGACTTAGTTTGTTAGTGTTGCTGTACAGGACTACCCGAGGCTGGGTAATTTATGAAGAAAAGAGGTTCGTGTGCTTCACAGTTCTGCAGGCTGCGCAAGAAGCATGGCGCCAGTATCTGCATCTGGTGAGGGCCTCAGGCTACTTCCGCTCCTGGCAGAAGGGGAAGGGGAGCCAGTGTGTGCAGAGATCCTGTGGCAAGATGGGGGGGTGCTATCAGCGTCCTTTAACAATCAACCTTCCTGGGAACTAACAGAGTGAGAACTCACCCCCCGCCCCGCCCTAGCTGATTAATCTATCCGTGAGGAATCAGCCCCCACAGCTGAAACATTCCCCACTAGGCTCCACCTCCAACATGGGGATCTAATTTTAACATGAGGCATAAAGGGTCAGATATCCAAACTAGCAATCTGTGTATCTATTTGAAGAGTATTTTTAATAACATAAGGTTTTAATAACATAAGGTCTTTTGATCCATGAACATGGAGTGTCTTTCCATTTATTTAGGTCTTCATTACTTTCTTTTTTTAATTTAAAAATTTTCTTAGAAGGCCACGTACAGTGGCTCACTTTGGGAGGCCAAGGCAGGTGGATCACCTGAGGTCAGGAGTTCGAGACCAGCCTGGCCAACATGTGAAACCCCGTCTCTACTAAAAATACAAAAATTAGCTGGGTGTGGTGGTGGACACCTGTAATCCCAGCTACCTGGGAGGGTGAGGCAGGAGAATGGCTTGAACCCAGGAGCGGAAGTTGCAGTGAGCCAAGATCACGCCATTGCACTCCAGCCTGGGTGACAAGAGCGAAACTCTGTCTCAAAAAAAATTTTTTTTTTTTCTTAGAGACGGTATCTCACTCTGTTGCCCAGGTTGGAGTACAAGTGGCATGATCATAGCTCACTGCAGTAGCCTCGACCTCCTATGCTCAAGCCATCCTCCTGTCTCAGCTTCCCGAGTGACTGAGACTATAGGCATTCACTACTGTGCCCAGTTAATTTAAAAAACATATATTTTTTTGACTTGGCGTGGTGGCTTACGTCTGTAGTCCCAGCACTTTGGGAGGCCAAAGCAGGTGGATCACTTGAGGTCCGGAGTTCGAGACCCGTCCTGATCAACATGGTGAAACCCCATCTATACTAAAAATACAAAAATTAGCCAGGTGTGGTAGTGCACGCCTATAATCCCAGCTACTCGGGTGGCTGAGGCACAAGAATCGCTTGAGCCCAGGAGGCGGAGGTTGCAGTGAGCCAAGATCATGCCACTGCATTCCAGCCTGGCAACAGAGCAGGACCCTGCCCAGGCTGGTCTCAACCTCCTGGCCTCAAGCAATTCTTCCACTTCAGCCTCCCAAAGTGCTAGGATGATAGGCATTAACCACCGCACCTGCTGGCTTCTTTAATTTTTTTTTTAAACAGTGTTTTGTAGTTTTCTGCACACAAGTTTTACACTTTTTTTGTTAAAATTGTGTCTAAGAATTTTATTCTTTTTGATGCTATTTTAGATGAAATTGCTTTGCTAACTTAATTTTTTTTTCTTTTGAGACGGAGTCTCGTTCTGTTGCCCAGGCTGAAGTGCAGTGGTGCGATCTTGGCTTACTGTAACCTCTGCTTCCTAGGTTCAAGCAATTCTCCTGCCTTAGCCTCCTGAGTACCTGGGATTACAGTCACGCACCACCGTGCCCGGCTAATTTTTTGTATTTTTAGTAGAGATGGGGTTTCACCATGTTGACCAGGCTGGTCTTGAACTCCTGACCTCAAGTCATCCACCCACCTCGGACTCCCAAAGTGTTGGGATTACGGGCGTGAGCCACTGTGCCCGGCCTAATTTCATTTTTGGATTGCTCATTGCTAGTGAGCAATATTCAGAGTTGACTTTTGTATATTCGTTTTGTTTCCTGCACATTTGCTTGATTCACTTATTGTGGTTCTAATAATTTTTAAGTGGATCCCTTAGGATTTTCTGTATAGAAGATGTTCTGTACAACAAATAGAGATTTGCTTTAGTTCTTCCTTTCCAAATGAGATGTTTGTTTTTTTCTAATTGCACTGTCTAGAACCTCAAGTACAGTGTTGAATAGATACAATGGTGAGAGTGAATATCCTGGTCTTGTTCCTGATCATTAGGGGGAAAACATTCACCTTTTAACCATTATGTATACCTTATTTGCTTTTAAAAGGCATAATCTAGAGTACTTTCCGAATGTAATTGAAAATATAAAACGTGTTGTTGTTGTTGCAGCTTTGAAAAATGTAGGTCCAGCCAGTCTCATAAGACATATTTAGGTGTGAATATAAAGTTCCTGAACATTCTTTCTGCAGCTGTTCTCTGGATGCAGCATGGTTGAGAATGTGAAGCCTGTGCTGGGGTCTGGTTGGCTGAGCTGCCACTCTCCTCCTGTGCTGCTGTTCCGGCTCTGACTTTCTTTCCCTAGCTCATCGGCCGCTCAGGGTCGCATCTAGAAGCAGGTGGAGATGGGCTGGCATTTGGCAGCCCTGGCAGTCTGTTGACTATGCATTGAGCTGCATCCTGGAATCTCTGGGTGTTAGGAGTGGGTAAAAGGTTCTTAAGTATATATTTTAAGGAAATATAGGCTTATTACATAAAATTTGGGGAAGAAAATCACCCATAAATCTACCTTTTAACAGACAATTTTAAATACTCATTTTCAGCCCAGCACGGTGGCTCACGCCTATAATCCCAGCACTTTGGGAGGCTGAGGCGGGTGGATCACCTGAGATCAGGAGTTCAGGACCAGCCTGGCCAACATAGTGAAACCTTGTTTCTACTAAAAATGCAAAAATCACCGGGTGTGGTGCTGTAATCCCAGCTACCCGAGAGGCTGAGGCAGGAGAATCACTTGAACCCGGGAGGTGGGGACTGCAGTGAGCTGAGATTGCACCACTGCACTCCAGCCTGGGTGACAGAGTGAAACTCTATCTCAAAATAAATAAATAAATAAATAAATAATCATTTGCAGCCCTTTTCTGTAAATAAAATGTATCTTGTTACATTGTAGACCCTACATAGCTTTGTATCCATTTATTTTATTTAATATTAATTTTCCAATAGTATTTGTATTACAGTTATAATAGCATGTTCCCTCAACTGAATGTATCATAATTTATTTAACCGTTGTGATGTCTGACATTTAGGTTGTTTCTGATGTTTTTCCCACGGACACTGCAGTGAACACATTTACGCATGTGGTTTTTTTCCTGTCTTTCAATTATTACCTTAGAATAAGTTTCCCAAGAAGAAGTAATTAGGTCCAAGGTCAGAACCTTTTTTTATTATTTTGAGACAGAGGTTGCAGTGGTGCAATCTTGGCTCACTGCAACCTCTGCCTCCTGGGTTCAAGCAATTCTCCTGTTTCAGCCTCCTCAGTAGCTAGGACTGCAGGTGCACACCACCATGCCTGGCTAGTTTTTGTATTTTTAGTAGAGAAGGGGTTGCACCATGTTGGCCAGGGTGGTCTCAAACTCCTGACTTCAAATGATCTGCCTGCCTCAGCCTCCTAAAGTGCTGGGATTACAGGCGAGAGCCACCGTGCCCAGCCGGTCAGGACTGTTTAATGACGATGCATAGGCCTGACTTGATTTGTCAAAGGATGTATCGGTTCACATCATGAAGTAGTTTCAGCATAACCTTTAGAATGGTTGGACAGAATGGTGTCTTAAATTGCCAAGTGAAGGCCGGGTGCGGTGGCTAACGCCTATAATCCCAGCACTTTGGGAGGCTGAGGTGGGAGGGTTACCTTAGGTCAGGAGTTAGAGACCAGCCTGGCCAATATGGCGAAACCCTGTCTCTTCTAAAAATACAAAAATTAGCCGGGCGTCATGGCGTGTGCCTGTAATCCCAGCTATTTGGGAGGCTGAGGCAGGAGAATCGCTTGGACCTGGGAGGCAGAGGTTGCAGTGAGCCGAGACAGCGCCACTGCACTACAGCCTGGGCAACACAGTGAGACTCTGTCTCCAAAAATAAATAAAAAATAAGTAAATAAATTGCTAAGTGAAAGTGGCATGAAATCTTTTAATCTCCATTTATTGTTATTATTTAATGTGATTTGTTAATGGTAAATGTGAAAATTAATTTGGAAAATTAGTAAGCTTAATTAAAAATGTAAAATATGTAAAAGAAAAAACCAATCAACCAACCCTTGGTGTCTGACATGCTTCACTCTTTTCCTGGCAGCCTGCCGATGTTCACCGTGCTCAGGAAATTCACCATTCCACTCACCTTACTTCTGGAGACCATCATACTCGGGTGATTTTGTTTTTCCTCCATTCTTCCAGTGTGTCTCCCACCCACTGCATTTCTTTTCCCTAGCAAATTCTAGTAGCCATTGCTAGTTGGGCAATAACTTAAGGACAAATGGTTTATTCATTTAAAAGTAGTTGCGTGCTTCTGTGATTCCCTAAGAACTTAATGAGGGATTTTTTTAAAAGTTGTAATTTTACCATAGACAAATAATGCATGTTTGTGGTAGAAAATCATAAGAAAGGGCCGGGCGCGGTGGCTCCCGCCTGTAATCCCAGCACTTTGGGAGGCCGAGGTGGGCGGATCACGAGGTCAGGAGATCGAGACCATCCTGGCTAACATGGTGAAACCCCGTCTCTGCTAAAAATACAAAAAAATTAGCCGGGCTCGTGGCGGCGCCTGTAGTCCCAGCTACTTGGGAGGCTGAGGCAGGAGAATGGCGTGAACCCAGGAGGTGGAGCTTGCAGTGAGCCCAGATCAAGCCACTGCCCTCCAGCCTGGGCGACAGAGCGAGACTCTGTCTCAACAAAAAAAAAAAAAAAAAAAAAAGAAAAGAAAATCATAAGAAAGAAGGAAAAAGAAACTCCAAAACAGGTGTAAACCTGTTTCCTGAGCCAGATGGAATATATACCAATTTCGGAATACAGAAGAGAAACTGTCCATGTATACAGGATAGGTGTGCAGTGTATGAGGGATGTCAATTCTGATGCAGTGATTATAATATCAGAAGAAATTAATTTTTATATTGTTGGTATAAAATTTCTCATGAGGATATTTAGTTTGATATCCAAAAAGTTGATTCTTGATTTTGCCGGGAGGATTATTTAGAAATGAATTTCGGTTGGTGGTTCAGTGTTTTAAGCCCTTGTTTTGAATATTATCTTAATCTTTGAATAATCACTATCAGTCCGTACAAACTAGATCCACCAGCAGGAGTGCTTCTGTATTTTGTCCCAGTATCTCTCTAGTGAGAACAGAGAAATCAGTTTGTAATTAGATTAAGAAAACTGCTTAAGAAATAACATAAATTTAGTCTGACTTAGAAACACTTTTAGTGCTTTCTCTACATCAAGCATTGTTTGCTAGATTTTAGCTGTAAAACTGTTGATGTCTATTTTCAATTTGTTTAAAAAATAGAATCATATTTCAGTGTTTTCCTGTCCGCTCCCTTTCCTTTATTTATGTATTTATTACAGGAAGCAGTATTCGCTCAACATCATCATCAGTGTCTTTGCCATCATTCTCGGGGCTTTCATAGCAGCTGGGTAAGACTTTGGACTGTTCCTGCTCAATAACTTCTTTGTGTCTTTCACAATAGGCCCAGCCCCGTCCTCTGTTTTTCATTTTCCATCTGGCTGCCATTGAACTGACCAGCCAGGAGACAAATCTGTTGAAGTTAGTGGAATCCCTGTGTGTTCCTGTGAAAGTCAAAGCGGGTCCCACCTTGGCCAGAAAATTTCTGAGAATATGTGAAGAGAGCATTGCAAGATATTAATACAGCTTTTCTTCACAAAAAGCAGTGAACTGTTTACGTTTCTTACTGAATGTTTGTCTTCAATATAACAGCTTTACTTGAGAAGTTCTTAGGCATTTGATTAACAATAACAGACTTACAAAGCCTTTGTGTGCTGATTTATTTTATTATTCCATGATACCTTAGCAGTTGCTATTTCCGATGGTAGAATGCTAAATGTATTTGTATGTTTGGGATATGAGCCAACACTGGTGCACGACTACTACTTTAATAATTATTTTGCAAAAGGAATAACAAGGACTGTAAGTCTTCATGGGCAGGCAGGTGCTCAGATTTCTCTGTTATAGCATGCATGGTGGATAGTGCATGTTAATAGTTACATTCCCTGGGTGTGGTGGCTCGCCCCTATAATCCCAGCACTATAGGAGGCCTGGTGGGAAGATCACCTGAGCCCATGAGTTTGAGATCAGCCTGGGCAACAGTGAGACCCTATCTCTACCAAAAAAAAAAAAAAAAAAAAAAAAAAGAGAAAATTCGCCTGGCATGGTGGTGTGTGCCTGGAGTCTCAGCTACTCAGGAAGCTGGAGAAAGAGGATCTCTTGGGCCCAGGAGTTTGAGGTTACAGTGAGCAATGATTGCACCACTGCACTCCAGCCTGGGCAACAGAGTAAGATCCTGTCTCTTAAGAAAAACAAATCACGCTTATTATTATTATAAATGTATTTAGTCCATTGTGCAGACTAAGGTTTATTACTTAATGTTTCATCTGTACCTTTCTCTCCCCTAGTCCTAGCCATGGGCTGAGTTTCACTCCTTGAAAGCCGGCTCTGTGGTCTCAGTGCTCCAGTTCACATCGTGGGTATAGTGCCAGCAACCATTAGACAGCAGCGCTCAGAGCCTGGTTTAGTCATGATAGGCTTTTTTTGGAATGAAATTTTAGGAGTAAAGTAGTTTAAAAAGGGAGAAGTTCTGTGGAAGATGCTTTGGGGCTAAAGGGGACAGCTTCCCCCTCTACTTTCTGAAGGTTCATTAAAAAAGGAACTGTGGTGGCTCACGCCTGCAATCCCAACACTTTAGGAGGCCGAGGTGGGTGGATCACCTGAGGTCAGGAGTTAGAGACCAGCCTGGCCAACATGGCGAAACCCGTCTCTACTAAAAATACAAAAATTAGCACGGTGTGGTGGCGGGCGCCTGTAATCCCAGCTACTCAGGAGGCTGAGGTAGGAGAATTGCTTGAATCTGGGAAGTGGAGGTTGTAGTGAGCTGAGATTGTGCCATTGCACTCCAGCCTGGGTGACAGAGTGAGACTCCATCTCAAAAAAAAAAAAAAAAAGGAACTGACAAAAGAGCAGATTGAGAAGAAAAAAAGACACACAGATTTACCTTCCCATGCCTGGGGTAGAGATCACGGGAGAGTGGCCACCCAGTGACCCAGTGGGGTGCAGGTGCTTCTATATCCTTCTTCACGGGAGGGCAGGGAGTGGAGACGATGCTTTGGAGAGGTCAGGAATGATGACTGGAGAGAATGAATGGACCTGGGAGACAGAAATTGTAAAGGATTGATTCTCTTTGGAATTTGCACCCGAGAGGCAGACATTATATTTTTAAAGTCTGCCCAGATGTGGCTGCATTCCTCAGTCTTGTTCTCTGCAGTAGATGTCAGAGAGGGGGATGGAAAGCAAGTGTGTTCTCATGAGTGGCAGTCTTTTAAGGTCGAAAAGGGAGTATCCAAGAAAAACCTCTTCAGCATCTGCTGCCCTTCAAGGGCTTTCCATGTAAAATAATCTGCATGCCAGGGTACCATATTTTGGGGTGAAATTCCCTGGGCTCCTCCCACGGTACTCTGAGGTCTCCCCAGCACAGCCCCCTCTCTTCCAGCTTCCTTAGGGCTCATCTTGAAAACCACTGACTTACAGCCAGTTAAAGACTTTTGCAAAAAATGGTTTATAAAACTGTTGGTAAGTCTTTGGTGAGGAATGGCCCTTCAGTTACCATGTGTATACAGGCACGTTTCCAGAACCAGGGAGCAGAAATCCCGTCTGTGCTTCGCATATGTAAGGACAGTCTACAGATGATCTGAAAGGGTAAATCGGGGTTCCAAAAGCATCTGACTTTCAACCAAGAGCCAGCCTGGAGTATCCATGCTCAGGCTGGCTCTTCCTCTGGCACTCACAGAATGGATCCCCTCCTGGCTGCTGGCATTCACAGCGCTTAGCTACAGATCAGCCGTGAGTGCTCAGCTAGAGACCAGCAGTGACCCCATCCTGCTCTCCTCTTACATTAGCGCATCCAGATGCAAGCAGTGGCAGATCAGACTGTCCAGTGAGCAGGTGATGCCGCTGTAACAAACCACCTCTACACGGCAGTAACTTCACTCACCAGATGCACCCCATCCATGCCACACACGCCACCCAACACCAGGCAGTGCTAGTGAGAGGGCTCTGCTCCATGTGCTTACTCAGGCATCCAGGCTGATGGAGTCCCTGCCTCAGAGGGCACTTCCTTTGCCAGACAAGCAGGAAAGGGGAATGTGGGGAATTGTGTACTGGTTCTTAAAGGTTTCACCCAGAAGTGACATGTGTCACCTTCTCTTACATTTTATTCAAAAAGCAAGTCACATGGCCAGAAAAAGTTAAAATACAACATCTGGGCTGGGTGTGGTAGCTCATGCCTGTAATCCTGTTACAGGAAAGGGGTCCTGATCCAGACCCCAAGAGAGAGTTCTTGGATCTTGTGCAAGAAAGAATTCAGGGCAAGTCCACAGTGCAGAGTGAAAGCAAGTTTATTAAGAAAGTAAAGGAATAAAAGAATGGCCACTCCATAGAAAGAGCAGCCCCGAGGGCTGCTGGTTGCCCATTTTATGATTATTTCTTGATGATTGCTAAACAAGGGGTGGATTATTCATGCTTCCCCTTTTAGACCATATAGGGTAACTTTCTGACGTTGCCATGGCATTTGTAAACTGTCACGGTGCTGGTGGGAGTGTAGCAGTGAGGATGACCACAGGTCACTCTCGTGGCCATTTTGGTTTTGGTGAGTTTTGGCCGGCTCCTTCACTGCAACCTGTTTTATCAGCAAGGTGTTTATGACTTGTATTTTGTGCTGACCTCCTATCTAATGCTGTGACTTAGAATGCCTTAACCGCCTGGAAATGCTGCCCAGTAGGTTTCAGCCTCATTTTACCCAGCTCCTGTTTAAGATGGAGTTGCTCTGGTTCACACGCCTCTGACAATCCCAGTGCTTTGGGAGGCCCAGGTGACAGGATTGCCTGAGCCCAGGAGTTTGAGACCAGCCCTGGCAACATAATGAGACCCTGTCTCTACAAAAATAGAAATAAAAAAATTAGCTGGGCATGGTGGCACATGCCTGTAGTCCCAGCTACTCGGGAGACCGAGATGGGAGGATCGCTTGAACAACTGCAAGAGTTACATGAATCTGCTCTAATTGATTAAACAAGTAAATTCTTCAGAAATGTCTGTGCTGTCACCACCGGCCTAAACAAACGGTGGGTAAGCCGCCTGACAGTGGCCCAGGCTTCTGGGAGTGGGAACAGCACTGCTGGGAACTCTTGGTCCCCGGAGTAGGAGATCCCCTGCAGCTCTCCCAGGAGGTGGGCTGTGTCTCCTCCCATCCTCTTTCCACTCACTTAGCTCTGCCGTCTAAGGGGGCAGCAGACTCTGCTCTTCTTCACGCTGAATTACATGTGGGTAGGTAAGAAATTTGGAAGACCCTTATTTTGAAGAAAATCCTTTTGTTTTGAGACGGAGTTTCGCTGTTGTTGCTCAGGCTGGAGTCACAATCTTGGCTCACCGCAACCTCTGCCTCCCCGGTTCAAGCGATTCTCCTGCCTCAGCCTCCCAAGTAGCTGGGATTATAGGCATGCGACACCATGCCCAGCTAATTTTGTACTTTTAGTAGAGATGGGGTTTCTCCATGTTGGTCAGGCTGGTCTCGAACTCCCAACCTCAGGTGATCCACTCACCTTGGCCTCCTAAAGTGCTGGGATTATAGGCATGAGCTACTGCGCCCGGCTGAAAATCCTTTTTTTTTTTTTTTTTTTGAGACAGAGTCTCGCTGTGTTGCCCAGGCTGGAGTGTGGTGGCGTGATCTTGGCTCACTGCAAGCTCTGCCTCCTGGGTTCACGCCATTCTCCTGCCTCAGCCTCCCAAGTAGCTGGGATTACAGGTGCCCCCGCCACCAAACCCGGCTAATTTTTTGTATTTTTAGTAGAGACGGGGTTTCACCGTGTTAGCCAGGATGGTCTTGATCTCCTGCCCTCGTGATCCACCCGCCTCGGCCTCCTAAAGTGCTGGGATTACAGGTGTGAGCCACTGCACCTGGACTTTTTTTTTTAAATTGTGACTGAGAGAGAATTCTGACTTACGATGACTAAAATTAACTTCCCTTCTCACAAATATGTTTGTAGATAATAATAATGTGCGGAGGTCTCAAGCAAAAATCTAATCTACTTTGCATTCAGATTTTGGTACAGTTTTTGCTCTCTATTTCATTCTCTTTGGTTAGAAATAATCTTATTTTGACGTTGAAGAAGATTTAGGATATGCCCCTCCAAACTATGCTACTGTGGGATCAGGATTATTTTGAGCCGAGGACAATTGAGAATGAACACATCAGGAAGTTTGCTGCCTTCTCCTTTCTGCCTAAAAAACAGGGAATCAGTTTCCCATTGTGAAGGGGGCCCCTTCTCCCATCCCAGGAAGAGGAGAGCAATTCCTGTCACTGGATGGAGGATCGGCCCTGAGATGCATCTGCATAAACAAACCCTCAAATAACCCTTCTCCTTCATCATTTCCACTATAGATTTCCTAGTTACTTTCTAACAGTTACACAATTTATTTGTTCCTTGAAGCCCAAATCCTCTTTCCTTTGTCACAATGTAAGTCCCCAAGCCTCACTGTTTCTTTGAGTTTCATTTATTTTCTGTGAACTTTAGGGAACGTATTAATAAGATTTGTATTCTCTTTCTCCTGTTAATCTGTCTTTTATCAGTTAAATTAGCAGGCCCCCAGACACTGAACCTAAGAGGGTACAGGAAAAGGTTTTCCTCCCTGGCAGTGTGTATTTCTGAATTATGGCGTGGTCTAGCACTGTCTGCAACCATCAAGGGCAGGTGGGTGGGCCACATCATGGCTCAGCTGTTGCTCTTCCTCTTGTTCCTGTCTTAGCTCCCCAAATGTTTTTACGCTGGTGCTATTTATAATGGAAATGGAAGAGAAGATGTTTCAAAAGAACGGGAAGAAAGGAGCCAATAAGGGGTCACACAGAAGGATGGACAGGGTGTGGCTGGGGCACCAGAAGGAGGTGTCACTGCCTCATGCAACCCCTCTTACCCAGTCTCTTCCCAGCTGCCCCTCACTGGCTGCACCCTGGAGGTGGCCCTGTTCACTGCAGTAAGCAAAGTCGCTGAGTGGGTCAGGGTGAAGCACTCCCCTTAGGAAAGTCAGGGCTCACCAATTATTATGCGGATTCCTCAGCTAGCGAAAGAAAGGGGTTGCAGTTGAAGGAGGATGTTTCATGTCCCTCAGGTTTTAAGCTGTTCACTGCTGAGTTGAAGCCACCTGATGGGCTGGTTTGGTTTTTGTCTGGAGGCAAAGCAGAGGAATTAAGCATTCACTACCACAAAGCGTGCCACAGAAAAGTGGATTTGATTAGGGAAAGGTAAAACAGGCGGGCTTGGAGGCCAAGTTAGGAGTTTTCGAATAATCCTTCTCCTTTTATGGTCTCCCTCCCAGGTCTGACCTTGCTTTTAACTTAGAAGGCTATATTTTTGTATTCCTGAATGATGTCTTCACAGCAGCAAATGGAGTTTATACCAAACAGAAAATGGACCCAAAGGTACCAGACCTTGCCTATGGCTTTTTGGCTTTGTCATCTGGGCCCTAGAATTATATGAAAAACGAAAATGAATGTGTACAGTTGGCATGTCATGTAATTTATATAATATGACGTGTAGATTACTAATTTATTTTCAATTATCTTGTCTGTGTAAGTTATTATTTGCAAAATTTTGGGTGAAAATGAGATAGGATGGGAAAAGCTACTAGTTTAGATGCACACTCAGAATATATAAAAAGGGATTAATTTGAAAGGCAAACTAACTTTTTTACTGGCATCATCAACGACCAAGGCAAGGTCAGGGGTCAGGATGTTCTGAGAGCACTAGTTTGGAGTCTGGAGATGTGGGTTAGAGACACAAGTTTTGCTGCTTACTGGCTGTTGTGACTTTGAACCTTAACTTCTTCAAACGTCAATTTCCTCATCTGTGGAATGAAATGACTGCAATGGATAATTTGTAAGGTCCTGTCCAGCAATAGCTGCTGCTTCTGATGATGAGGGGCTGGGGCAGAGGAGCTTTGCTTTTGTGTGGCTGCCTGTCACGTGGAGGCCCCATCCCTCCCCCACCCCCACCCCCACCCCCAGCTGTTACAGGAAGCCCCAGAGGATGAGTCAGGCATATGTTTCTTTGTTCCAAGCTCTTTGTGCTGGATGAGGGAGTTCACTCTGACCAACAGGCTTATTTCTATGAGCTTTTTTTTTTTTTTTTATCTGCACTGTTTTTTTTTTTTTTCCCCCTGCATGGCCATTTTTTTTTTTTTTTAACGGTAGCAGTTTTACAAAAACAGGTTTGTTGTCTTTGCAAAATCACAATATGTCATCCTTTTTTGAAAGTGGTGAAGTGGTGTGGCCACTTTAATGAAAGTAAATGTATAATGCTGCTATCCTTTAACGGAAACAGCAGATGTTTTTAAAGAGTTTTGTTTATATTCACGTTTTTAATGTTCTTTATTTTGTTCCAGATTTCCCATTTTGAATAATGTGCTTAAAAAAAACCCCACACAATTAGAATGCTGGAGATGAATGGAACCCTAGAGGCTTTCCACTGCCATGCGTTTTCTCTGTAGTTTTGGTGTAAAACAAATGTTTATTCCAAAATCTCAGTACCCTCAAAATGAAGCATTTTATGTCAGAAATTTGCTGAAAATATTCCAGTAGAGTTGCCCAGAATGCATATTCTAACTTTGCATGAATATGCAGTTGAATAAATGGCTCCAGGAAATCTATGTGTCATGTTTCTAAAATTGAGTGGTTTTTATGTTTTTGTTTTTGCAGGAGCTAGGGAAATACGGAGTGCTCTTCTACAATGCCTGCTTCATGATTATTCCAACTCTTATTATTAGTGTCTCCACTGGAGACCTGCAGCAGGTGAGCTGATGGCAATCGTTACAGTCTTCCTTAGCAGGCTTTAACATGTTTAATATTTAACATTTGGTATGCACAGAAATAAAACGCGTAAAGGTAGCTGGGACTACCAGGAGGGTACATGATAACAAGATGTTTGATATCCCTAGTAATCTTTTGGCACTACCCTTGCATTGGCATTTAGCCTTAGCCACATATCAAGGAGTGCCAAGAACTGTGGACTTGGAACTTTTTGGAACACAACAATACAAATCTGAGTTTGAGTTCCATATCCCCCTTTGCTAATGTGGGACCCTGGGAGAGCTACTTACCCTAGAAGGGGATTTTGATCATTTCAAAAAATAGGTTTATTTATTTGTTACTTTCTATTATGGACATTTTGAAACGTGCACAAAATAGAATAATTCAATGAGTAGTCACGGACCCACCACCTAGCTTCAACACTTTGGCATTTTGCCATATTATTTTATCTGTCCTCATCCACCCCCACTTTTTTGTTCCCTGGAGTGTTTTAAAACCTATCCCAGCCGTCACGCCATTTTACCTCTAAATATCCCAGGATCCACATTTGAATTTTGGGAAGGTGTTGTTCTTTCAGCATTTTCCCTGAAACCCGATCTGCTGCTGGTGAGAGACAAATGAAATGGTGAATTAGTGGTAAGATCTGAGGCCCAGTGGAGCGGTGGAGGCAAAGTCTCTTAGGAAATGTGAACATTCACTATAGTGACAGCTCCAGTGGCCACCCTGAAGGGTGCAAGACAATGCCCTAGATACTTTTCCTATATGATAGGAATAGCCCATCGGGTGGCTTCAACTCAACAGTGAATGGCTTAAAACCTGAGGGACATGAACCATCTTCCTTCAACTTCAACCCCTTTCTTTCGCTAGCTGAGGAATCCGCATAATAATTGGTGAGCCCTGACTTTCCTAAGGGGAGTGCTTCACCCTGACCCACTCAGCAACTTTGCTTATTGTAGTGAACAGGGCCACCTCCAGGGTACAGCCAGTGAGGGGCAGCTGGGCAGAGAGTGGGTAAGAGGGGTTGCATGAGGCAGCGACACCTCCATCTGGTGCCCCAGCTGCACTAGACTTCTTCAGGCAGTCGCAGGCCACACAGCCTCTGAGAATTTTGCTGATGTGCAAGTGAGTGTGAGAAACGAGATGCGATGGGCAAAACCCTCCTCGGCGGGACCTGCACCCACAGACTCGACTCCAGACACAGCCCTGACCGGCCAGGCGGTAACCCCCTCATTGCTGGTCTGGGGCCGGGGCCGCACCCATTGACCCACGGCCAGGGCGGTGTTTCCATGTCGAGCAGTCAGCGTGGGTGCGTGTTGCCCACCAGCTGAAAGTCAATCCCATTGGCAGCTCTTTTAGGGTCTGAGTGACTCTGAAGGCTGCAGGTTGCTGTGGACTCCTGGGCAGCTCATTGTTCTTTCGTTAGCTGGACTTTCTCACTTGACCAGTTCTCTTCCCAAAAGGAGGGATCAGCAGAGGGGCTGAGCAGCCTCGTTCCCGGGCACAAACTGCCATTTCCGTGGGTTTATATGGAAAACCACCACGTGGCACCAATCTGGATAAAGAGCTCTCTGTTTCGGGTTAATCAGAACGTTGTGAACCTGGGCCTCCCTGTTAATTCCGTGTTGGAAGATAAAGCGGGCACCTGCCCCTCTCTAGGAAGAATGAGCAGGGCAGGATATCTGAAAACACAGTATTTGTGTTTCAGCTACCATCAATCAATTTGAAACTGAGTCAGTGCCAGCAACGTTACACAAAACAAAATTATGAACTCTTGGCCAGGCGTGGTGGCTCACGGCAATAATCCCAGCACTTTGGGAGTCTGAGGCAGGCAGATCTCCTGAAGTCAGGAGTTCGAGACCAGCCTGGCCAACATGATGAAACCCAATTTGTAGAGTATTTTTAGCAGTAAAAATACAAAAATTAGCCAGGCATGGTGGCAGGTGCCTGTAATCCCAGCTACTTGGGAGGCTGAGGCAGGAGAATCACTGAAACCCAGGAGGCAGAGGTTGCAGTGAGCTGAGACTGTGCCACTGTAATCCAGCCTGGCTGACAGAGAAGCCTCCGTCTCCAAAAATAAAAATAAAAAAAAATTACAAACTCTTCATGAGTGATTCTAGTGGCTTGTCTCCTTTCATTATTATAGAAGTGAGGTTTTTTTTTTTTTTTTTTTTTTTTTTTTTTAATCACTGGAGTTTTATCTGTTCTGAAATTCTGGTATTTTAGATAATTTTTTTTCCAGAAATAGAAATTTAGAAACTCCTAAAAATTGTTAAAACACCTCATTGGGACTAAAAGCATATTTCCCCATGGGAACAATGCTATGAAAGGCATAGTGACCAGAAACTGAATTTTAGGTAGTTGATGAGTAAAATAGATTAGGTGTATTATGTTAATAATTTATAACATTGTTTCAGAAGAAATATGTGTTCTCATATCAAAGTCATTGGCTTATAAACTTGTAGCATGGTGTTTTCAGAAGCTGCTACGTGCCTATAATGATTATCATGCAGAATTCTACTTTCTCATGTAATAATAATAATAGCTAATATTTGTCGAGGGCTTATGATGTCAGACATTTTTCAAAGCATTGTTCATGAATTATCTGACTGCATTTCCACGATGGAAGAGAAGGTCCTGTTACTATTCCTGTCATATAGGAAAAGCATCCAGGGCATCCTGCTTAAGTATCTTCCCAAGAATAGCAGGTGGCCAGTCCAGGCACTCTGGGTTCTAGAAACACATCCTCTACCATCATCTCATTTACTTTATTTGTATATGAAAAATATTTGCTTTCTCCTTCATGTGTGAAAAACATATCCCTCACTTATATAAAGTACAAGAGACCTAACATATACTTTATGTTTATTTATTTTATTTTATTTTTTTGAGACAGAGTCTTGCTCTCTCACCCAAGCTGGAGTGCAGTGGTACGATCGTGGCTCACTGCAACTTCCGTCTGCCAGATTCAAGCAATTCTTCTGCCTCAGCCTCCCAAGTAGCTGGGATTACAGGTGCCCACCACCGTGCCCGGCTAATTTTTTGTATTTTTAGTAGAGATGGGGTTTCACCATGTTGGCCAGGCCGGTCTTGAACTCCTGACCTCAGGTAATCCACCTGCCTTGGCTTCCCAAAGTGCCAGGATTACAGGTGTGAGCCACTGCACCCAACCCCAAAAGTTTGACTTTTTTTTTTTTTTTTTTTTTTTGAGATAGAGTTTTGCTGTTGTTGCCCAGGCTGGAGTGCAAGATCTCTTGGCTCACTGCAACCTCTGCCACCCAGGTTCAAGCGATTCTCCTGCCTTAGCCTCCCGAGTAGCTGGGATTATAAGCACCCACCACCATGTCCGGCTAATTTTGTATTTTTAGTGGAGACGGGGTTTCACCATGTTGGCCAGGCTGGTCTCAAACTCATGACCTCATGATCTGCCCACCTTCCAAAGTGCTAGAATTACAGATGTGAGCCACTGCGCCCAGCCAAGTTTAACTAGTTTAAAAAGTATTGTATGATAAGAGATGCCAAATATATGAGACACTCACTGTAATCTGTAAGAAAAAGCCATCAACTCCATAGGGAAAAAAAAAACAAAACCAAAAAACAGTGAGGTTTCCACTACTAACATTGAATCAGGGCAAATTTCTTCCCATTGGTCCCTTTTGACCATGGCGGAATTCATTTTAGATTGCAAACCAAATAAGAGAAAGAAATGAATGTATGTAATTAGGTGTGTTAGCCTATAATATAAAATTGCTTTTTGTTTACCAAGTTTGGTTTGACTGTAAAAGCTGATTAATGAATTAGAGCAAAATGTGAACTTCTCTTGTTAATGGAAAGAAATTCGATGAGTTATTTTTCCTGGTTAACTGGGACTAGGAGCGATGGAGAGGATCAGAGATTGTGGTAAACGTGTATGTGTGACTCACTCCTCTGGGAATTCAAGCCCAGACTTTGGACTTACACAGTCAATAGATCTATTAATAGTGCCTCGATTCTATCTCTGATGAACAAAGTCAGAGATGACAGCTTCTCTTGTTAACAAATTAGGCCCTTGGAAAATACTCAGCGGGTGAACTTTCTTCACTATTTGAATCACTGCAGTAGGTTCAAAGTACATCTAGTATATTACAGTTGACGAACAGGGATAAAGAATGGGACTTTTTTTTTTTTCCCCTGATTGAAAAACCCTGAGTGCAAAGTGAAAAAGACTCATATTCCCACAGTAAGTCTAAAGGAAGAAGGGCTTTATTGTTATTTACCTTTAATTATTTCTTTTTAAAAATAAATGTCATGCTACATTATTTTTAAAATGCCACTAATACAGTCTCATCATTATTAAGGAAATAAAACTAAAATCTATAAAAATTTAGGTTGGGTCTGGTCATGGTGGCTCATGCCAGTAATCCCTGTACTTTGGGAGGTTGAGGCAGGTGGATCTCGAGGTCGAGAGATCGAGACCATCCTGGCCAACATGGTGAAAACCCATCTCTACTAGAAATACAAAAATTAGCTGGGTGTGGTCGTGAGCACCTGTAGTCCCAGCTACTCGGGAGGCTGAGGCAGGAGAATTGTTTGAACCTGAGAGGTGGAGGTTGCAGTGAGCCGAGATGGTGCTGCTGCACTCTAGCCTGGTGACAGAGGGAGACTCTGTCTCAAAAAAAAAAAAAAAAAAAAAAAGGTTAGGTTGGTGAAGAATCTAAATATTTTTATGAGAGTCACAAAATAGCCCTCAATGGATTTTGTTGTATCAGGAACACATATATAGTTTTTATTTATTTCTTATTAATGGATGGATTGATTTTTTACTGTTTGCATAAATACTTTTAGCTCTTTGAGAAAAGAGATGTTTTTCTACCCTTGGTTTGAAATTTAAAACTTACGTATTTGTCTTATTCCCAATTTTATTTTAATTTCAGACAGTAAGTGTTTCCCATGATTTTTGTGGTTTTGTTTTGTTTTGGTCTTTGACTGCCTTAAGCGTAAACTTTTCGGCTTTAATTCTCTTGGATGTTTTCTGCTCCTTTGATTAGCTTGGGGCTTGCTGGTAAGACAGATTTTTATTTATTATATTTTTCTTTCACAAGTATGCATTTAACAAAAAGTGTTAGGATGCAAGGAAATTGTCAAACATATACAGAAGGAGACAGAGGGATGTGGCAAACTCCACATCTATGCCCATCAGCCAGTTTCAACAGTTAGGAACACTTAATGTGAACCTTTTTTTTAAATTTTTTTGAGACAGGGTCTCACTCTGTTGCCCAGGCTGGAGTGTGCAGTGGTACCATCACGGCTCACTGATGGTGAGCCTCCATCTCCTAGGCTCAGGTGATCATCCCACCTCAGCCTTCCCAGTAGCTGGGACCACAAGTCTGCACACCACCATGCCCAGCTAATTTTTGTAATGTGTATCTTTTTGATAAGTGAAGTGGGCAAAGCATTACTAATGAAACAATGACAGTGAAATGTGACAAGATGGTCCCGATTGGAGAAGAGAATTCTACCTTAATTGTTTAAAAATTTGAACTATAAACTTAAAAGATTTCATTTTAAATACATAGTTTCTAAAACTTGGCTAACAAAGTGTTGCTTACTGGAAAGTGAGTGGAACTTATGTTTGATTCTATTTGATCCTGTTACAGAGCACATACTTACGGGCAGTCTTCAGACACGTTCAAATTGTTTTTGGATACAAGTAGGGGACCAACCATGAAGAAAATACTCCTTCTTCTTGTCTCCTCAGGAGGGTTAATTTAATTTTCTCAGCTAGGGATGAAATCCCCAGAGAGCAGAAATTGAGTCTTTTTTGTTTGTTTTTTTTGAGGTGGAGTTTTGCTTTTGTTGCCCAGGCTGGAGTGCAATGGCATGACCTTGGCTCACTGCAACCTCTGTCTCCCAGGTTCAAGCGATTCTCCTGGCTCAGCCTCTGTAGTAGCTGGGATTACAGGCCCCTGCCACTGTGCCTGGCTAATTTTTGTATTTTTCGTAGAGATAGGGTTTCACCATGTTGGCCAGGCTGGTCTCAAACTCCTGACCTCAGGTGATCCACCCGCCTCGGCCTCCCAAAGTGCTGGGATTACAGGCGTGAGCCACCGCACCCGGCCAGAAATGAAGTCTTAAACTTCTTTGTCTACCATTTCCTCCACCCCAATTACTTGATTGCTTTGTAAGTAGCAAATAATAGTTTATTTGTTCACAATACTTCCTAAGCATGTGCAAGTTCCTGAAAACAGTTTATGACCTTAAACTTTTCTTGCCTACATTATTAATTAAGAATAAACTTTTTGGCTGGGTTTGGTGGCTCACGCCTGTAATCCCAGTATTTTGGGAGGCCAAGGCAGGCAGATGACTTGAGCCCAGGAGTTTGAGACCAGCCTGGGCAACATGGCGAGACTCTGTCTCTACTTAAAAAAAAAAAAAAAAAAAATAGCCAGGCATGGTGACCTGTGCCTATAGTCCCAGCTACTTAGGAGGCTGAGGTGGGAGGACTGATTAATCCCAGGAAGTAGAGGCTGCAGTGAGCCATGATCACACCTGGGTGACAGAGCAAGACCTGGTCTCAAAAAAGAAAGAAAAAAAAGAGATAATCAACTTTCTTCTAAAATTATTTACAAAAAATAAACCCAACCTTGAATTTGGGACCACAAATTAAACTAGTAAAGGTGTGTAAAGTCAGTGAATCAATGATAGCCTCAGCGATAATAGCAGTTGTGATTTTGTGCTGGCCATCAGCATAGTCCTAAACAATTTCATTCAGTCCTTATATCCACCTTTTGAGGAAGGCTTTCCTTTTTTAAAATAATCTACATTTTGTAAAATGAATCTGAGGTTCAGGGAAGAAAAGAGATTTGCCCAACGTCACCCAACTAGTATCACCCAGGATTTTTAGCATTATATTTTCTGTTTGGGAAGATGGTTCCTGCATCAAAACGCAGTTTAGTAAAACCAGTAAATTTAAACTGCAGTATCATTAACCTAATCATTACTTTTTTTCTTTTTTAATAATAGGCTACTGAATTCAACCAATGGAAGAATGTTCTGTTTATCCTACAGTTTCTTCTTTCCTGTTTTTTGGGGTAAGAAACCATAGATAAGTAGGGACATTGGTCGACAATATCTCTTGACAAGTCACATCAAGATATGCCTTCTGTCTATTCTGTCAGAATTCCTTTGTGTTTCTCTGACTTTCTCTGGAGAGTACCCCTGCAGCAGTGGCAGGGACCCAGGAGACCTGGAAACCCAGCCTGAAAGACCAGGAGCAAGCATACAACTCTTGTTTTTGAAAGTCATGCTAATGTCCTTTCTCCTCCAAAATACGATGTTGCCTATTGATTTCTGAAAGTTTGTCTGAAATGAAGTCAGCTGACGTTTCAAGCTCAATGCTGAGGACTTTTTTGTTTTTGTTTCTTAAGAGATGGAGTCTCACTGTGTGGCCCAGGCTGGACTCAAACTCCTGGGCTCAAGCAGTCTTCTTGCCTTCGCCTCCTGATCAGCTGGGACTCCGGGCTCCTGCCTCCAGGCCTGGCAGTGATATGTTTTCGTCTTTGTCACCATGTCGTTAGTTTTTCAAGATGCCTTCCTCACATAATGATGTGACTATGACAGCCTTTTCCTATAGTGCTACACCTGCTATATTCAGGAAAATTTCCAAAGAGAGATGTCCAGGCTGTTGTATGGTCCAACAGTTAGGCTATTTTGTTCTTGAAATTTTCTTTCTCTCTTTCTTTCTTTTTTTGGAGATGGAGTCTCGCTTTGTTGCCCAGGCTAGAGTGCAATGGTGCGATCTCGGCTCACTGCAACCTCTGCATCCCAGGTTCAAGCAATTCTCCTGCCTCAGCCTCACGAATAACCGGAATAACAGGCGTGCAACACAATGCTCGGCTAACTTTTTGTATTTTTAGTAGAGAAGGGGTTTCACCGTGTTAGCCAGGATGGTCTCAATCTCCTGACCTCGTGATCCGCCCGCCTCGGCCTCCCAAAGTGCTGGGATTACAGGCATGAGCCACCACACCTGGCCCGTTTGGATCAGCCCCGTGAGCTGAAATTGGGAATTTGAGACACTTTTCCACAGGGACAGGCTGTGTTTGCTTCTGCTGGTAGCCAGGGGTTGCCCCAGATTTTGGTCCCTTCAGGCCTTTTGAGAGTCTGGGCTCAGTACCCCCCGTCCCCCTAGAGTTTGGCCCCAAGCCAAACTTCTCCCCCATTCATGGAAAAATTGTCTTCCACAAAACCAGCCCCTGGTGCCAGAAGGTTGGGGACCACTGCCTTAGAGCACTTAGCCATTGTTGGAAGCGTAAGTTTAGTAAAATACCTGTAGTTTTCCCCGTTGTTGACTGAGAACATTTAACCTTGGAAAAAAAAAAAAAATCTAAGCCATGCTTGTGAGTCATCCTTTGTCAAACCATCTCTTATTTTTCTCTCTCATCGAAAAATAAGAAGTCAGCCCTTAGTACACAAACTGAGGCTAGCTCCTTTCCCTGGCTAAGCCCGTATTCCTCTGTGAACAGTAGAGCAGAGATTCGAAGTCTTCTCATGTCATTGTAAACTTGATGACATATTGGCTGTTTTGGTTTGTTTTTTGTTTTTAACATGCACTTTACTGTTTAACCATTCCATGAAGGAAATCAAGAATTTGACCCTCTGAGGTCAGCTGTCCTCAGTGGGTGAGGGCGGACAGCCTTGCTGTGAGCTGTCACTCTCCAGGGCTTATCCATGAGAGGCTTGACCCCATCTGTCTACAATTCCATACTCTTTTTTTTTTTTTTTTTTTGAGATGGAGTCTCGCTCTGTGGCCCAGGCTGGAGTGAGTGGTGCGATCTCGGCTCACTGCAAGCTCCGCCCCCCGGGTTCCCGCCATTCTCCGGCCTCAGCCTCCCGAGTAGCTGGAACTACAGGCGCCGCCATTGCGCCCGGCTAATTTTTTGTATTTTTAGTAGAGACAGGGTTTCACCGTGTTAGCCAGGATGGTCTCGATCTCCTGACCTCGTGATCCGCCCACCTCGGCCTCCCAAAGTGCTGGGATTACAGGCTGAGCCACCGCGCCCGGCCAACATGAACTTTACCTTTAATGGTGAAGTTTTCAGTCTGAAATTGCACTGTGAGGAGACTTCCATTTTGGCGTGGCGGCTTTTTCAGAATCCTGCTTTCTTGCAGTTTTTCAAAGTACGCTAGGATCTGATCATCTGCATCTCCGTAGTGAGCTTCCCAGCACCTCCTTGGCCTTGGGCACCGCTGCTGGTTTCGGTCTGTCTCTTCTCTCCTGACCGGTGCTAAGGGATGTCTTAGGGTAACACACACACCGCAACTCCAGACTCCACGCGAGCCCACTCAGCCTCTTACTTGCTTTCATCGCTTTCAGGTTTGCATTTCAGGCTTGCTTTTTTTCAGCCACCAAACCTCTATTCCGAGTTGAAAATATAATTTAAAAATTATTACACTTTGAAATGTTTTGTTAAGAAGCCAATAGAAAGGTGAAAGGGCCAGTGCCAACCATAGTCCTGAAAGACGCTGTAAACCAGCAGTGCCCAACCTTTTTGGCACCAGGGACTGGTTTCTTGGAAGACAATTTTTCCATGGCTGGAGGATGGGTAAGGATGGTTTTGGGATGAAACTGTTCTACCTCAGATCATCAGGCATTGGATTCTCATAAGGAGCACGCAACCTACATCCCTCAAACGTGCAGTTCACAGTAGGGTTTGCGCTCCTATGAGAATCGAATGCCTCCTGATCTGACAGGAGGTGGGGCTCAGGTGGTCATGCTTGCTAACCTTTTGCTGTGCACCTCGGTTCCTAACAGGCTGTGGACTGGTACCGGTCCGTGGTCCAGGGCTTGGGGACCCCAGCTATAAACCAGAGTGTCTGAGATGGGTCTCAATCTATTTAGAGGTTCATTTTTCCAAGGTTGAGGATGCACTTGGGGAAAAAGAGACACAAGTCACAGTAGGATCTGTGGCCTGTGCTTTTTCCAAGGAGAATTTTGAGGACTTCAATATTTAAAGGGGAAAGGGTGGCAGGAGGGGCAGAGGGAAAGAAAAAAAAGGGAGGGAGGGTATGTCAGGAGGTGAGAGGTTACATTCTTGTAAGGTGAGTGAGTCCTACCTTCTTGCAAGATTTGGATTAGTGCTCACTGAATCCACATGTTACATGTGAAAGGAGAGGTCGAAGGACAATTACTCATTTGTCTGACTTTCAGCAAATCTGCATTTTACATAAGATAAAAGCAAGCATACGGAGAAGAAGGAGGCAATCACGCATTTGTCTTGGAGTGGGCAGAGGGATGATTTCTAGTTCTGTCTTTGCCCAGTACCTGTTTAAGATAAGCTATTAATTTACATCATCATGTGGGCATGGTGGCTCAAGCCTGCAATCCCAGCACTTTGGGAGGCCGAGGTGGGCAGATCACTTGAGGTCAGGCATTCGAGACCAGCCTGGCCAACATGGTGAAACCGTGTCTCTACTAAATATACAAAAATCAGCCAGGCGTGGTCGTGTGCCCCTGTAATCCAAGCTACTTGGGAGGCTGAGGCACGAGAATCTCTTGAACCCGGGAGGTGGAGGTTACAGTGAGCCAAGTCTGTGCCATTACACTCTAGCCTGGGTGACAGTGCAAGACTCCGTCTAAAAAAAAAAAAAAAAATTCAGGGTGAAATTCAGCAGAACTCTATTTTAGGGTGAAGATTTTGGGACCTGCAAGGAAGTTCCTTGTGAGCAATTTGTGAGGGAGGCCACGTGGGGAGATATGTGGCCCTCTCTCTTTGCAGCTATCTATAGAGGAACAGAATGGAAGGCTTTTGTGTGACTCAGTTTCCAGACTTAACTTCTCCCTTTGGCCTCGTGAGTTTGGGGTTCTGAGATTTAATTTTCCTTTCACAACACTATCCTGAATGCCATAACCCCCAAAAGATCTAACTTCCAAAAATTATAATCCTGAAAGAGTAGAGTCTCAAATGTTGAAATCCTGAAGGCTGAATTCTGGGGAAGGGATTGTGTATTTCGGTTGTATGCAGGATAGTTGCCTCATGTCAGGTGGATGCAACTAAATAACAAAATTACTTTGTTACTGTCTTCATTTGGAAACTTAAGTATGGTTTAAGACGATGCTGTGGGTGCCAAGTTGACAAGCAGGGGGAATTGTGGAGTTAATTTCAGGTATCAACTCGACTGGATTGAGGAGTACCTGGGAGCCCAGTGAAGCTTTATTGTAGTTGTGTGTCTATGTGTGTACGTGTGTGTGGAAACCCACAGGAGATTGTCGTGCAAGTCTGAGTGGACCAGGTGGGGAGGATTTGCCCTCATGGTTGGCAGGCACCAGCCAATTGGCCATGGCGCGGAGAGATCAAATACAGAAGGCGAATCCATCCCTCTTTGAAATCTGGGACAGACTTTCTTCTGCTGCCTTGGACATCAGAACTCCCAGCTCACTGGCCTTAGCAATCCAGGGCTTCCACCAGCAGTCTGTGGTCAGGAGGCCTTTGGCCTTGGACTGAGAGTTACACCAAAGGCTTCCCTCGTTCTGAGGCCTTTGGACTTGGTCTAAGCCATGCTACTGGCATCTCAGGGTCTCCAGCTTGCAGGTGGCCTGTCTTGGGACTTTTTAGCCTCCATAATTGTGGGAGCCAATTCCCCTGATAAATCCCCTCTCATATATCTATACCTGTGTATTCTGTTGGTTCCATTCCTCTGGGGAACCCTGACTAATACAGATTCCTTTATTGAGGAAGCCAAATATCATTCCTTCCTACTGTATTCCTAAGAACACAACAGAAGAGATCCGTGAAAGTATTCTCTCACAAACGGGCTGTGAAAGATAGAAGTTTAAAGGCTAGTTATCATTGGTGCCGCGAAAGCAGAACATTGCTTAACTGCAGTGGCTGAGCAGTTATCAAACTTGCAAATGGACAGCGTATGCTTACACAATCCGCGGACCACAGCCACTCTCCAGGTACCAGTGCAGGAGTGTTCTGAAGATCAGAGATGTGAAAATGCAGGGGAGAAATATAAGAAATCTAGACTGGACATAGTGGCTCATGCCTGTAGCCCCAACGCTTTGTTTGGGAGGCTGAGGTGGGAGGATCAC